TGGCACAGTGCTTCTCAGCCCATGTGAACTGTCTAGCTACCTCTGTCCTTGCTGTACTCATGAGCATATTTAATATAGCTTTCTTAAGTGCTTACTTGGAGAGCTGAATATTAAAATTTTAATGAAAGGAAGTATCTGTGCTTTGAATTTGATCTCTAGTGTACTGATAATTTATTAAACCCATCATGGAATTTAGGTAGGTGCATGGGAAATAACATCATTTGTTTGCAGATAATGTTTTTGCTATCGAAAGTATATTAGAAAAGCATATCAAATATTTGCTATTTGGACAAACAGGAGTTGTATATGATGAGCAGAATTAAAAACTGATTTGGTAGTTGCACCCAGAGGGACCTGACTAAAAAATTGCTCTCTTTCTGGAAGGAGGTGTTTGGTGTTTGAGCCTACTCCTATCTCAGTCAACACTGGGCATCAGAGCTCGCTTGATAGAACTCTGTAAGTGTGTGAACCAAAGCCAGGAGAAATAGCTACTGTCACAGATGACAGGAGAAAAACTGAAGAGAATACAAACACAGTGACCCAAATCCAAGAAACGTAACTGCACTGGCATCACTGGAAGCCCCCTTCCTTCCCTCTTTCCATGCTGCATTATAGAAAGGCAATGAGTAGAGTGGCTTAGCAACACTGTGCTGAAATGAAACTGAGATTGCATTTTAGTCAAGTATGAAATCCATGTGTGTCAACAGGGTACCAGAGCAGGTTTTGAAAAAAAGAAAAAAAAAAAACTCTTGTCCAGCTGTCCAAATAAACTGTTCTCTGTTCTGATTCTCCTTTAATCACTTAGAAAACCAGAAAGTGAAACTACATGCCCCTAGAGGATCTCCTCTTTCTGCCTTCCCTTTCTTCTCATTAACTGCTCTTTTAACAGCCGTCATCTTGGCCTTGCAGAACCTGATAAAAGAAGGAACCACTGAAGATGCTTAAACCTAACCTACCATTCGTTGGAGTATGCCACTGACCACACCCTATGTGTGGCTTAACACAGTATAGCCTTGCCAAGGCTGGCAGAATGTACATACTGTACTTTAATCTCCATACTGAGACGGTATATTGCCCCAGCACTGGCCACTAGGATGGATAGCCACCTGTGTTCTAGAAGGCCCTTATTATCCTCCAGATATAGTACCTGTTGTCTCAGAAATGACTCCTGAGTTCCCATGATACTTATGTCTAACCATCCAAGTTTCATTCATTCATATATCCAAGTACTAAGCCCTGAATGAATCTCAGCAACCAGAATGTACTAATCATTTAGCATCTACTTGCTGATTTAAATGAATTAATTTTTTAAATTCAAAGCAAATATGAGGGTATTGCTGTGATAAAGCTGCTATCCCTACAATCCCAGATTATGAAGAGGGGAATAGGCTGACAGGTGCCTGGTAATGGACAGGCTACCAAAGCAACGTTTCACACAAGCAAATATCATCTAATTAGACACCTTTCGTTTTCCCTGTTGCAATGTGAAAAATCCAGTAAACAAAACTTAGACCTGCTAATGTCACCTATTTGGAATTCCGTTTCATAATAAAGGGCTTCCCCCACCCAAAGGAATCCTTTCTGACTCTGAACAACCCTGTTAAATTATGAGCTGGGAACAAGTGAGCAGTGCCAATGACTCCCTCCAAATCATTGATCAGCTGCTTATCTCGTCTTTCAGGAATTGGATTTCATTTCAGCTGTTCTGAGGGGCTTTTGCTAGAACAAGTCTTAAGGTTATTTGACAAAGCACATCATGAACTCTCAAAATTGACTTATTTGAATTTCTTATGAATGTCATCATCAGTGTTAAGAACTGTATCATATAATACAATGTTAATAACAATAAAAAAAAAAGAATCTGCCAGCAGTCATCACAAAAATTGTCCATACAGCAGACAAGAAAAAAACATTACTCACAATATTACTGGAAATCATCAGATTACAGGTGCTAATTGGATGAATTGTAAGATATGTGAATTGTATCTCAATCAAACTCTTAGCAAAACAAAACAAAAAAAGGAGGGGTGATATCCAGTGTTGTGGTAGAGCAAGCTAAACCAGTGCTTGCAAAGCAGCATCCCACATCACAGTGACAGTTCCAGGCTTGGCTGCTCTCCTTCTGATTCAGCTTCCTGGTGACACACCTGGGAAGGCAGGCATTGATGGACCAAGTATTTGGGTGCCTGAGACTCTTGTGGCAGACCCTGATTCTTGGCTGCTGGCTTCCGCCTTGGCCAGCCCTACCTGGATGGTCATTTGGGAAACGAAGCATTGCTTCTTTCTCCCTCTCAGTCACTCTCCCTTTCAGATAAAAAAAGTCTATTTTAAAAATATAGCAGTTTTAATATATTTGAAAAGTTGTGTAGCCATCTACCTTAACTTTTGATTATCATTTAGCTATCATCCCCTTCCTACCTCCTAAATCCTGCAGCCTTAGCTAAGAAAACACAAATGTACGCTTGCTGTATGTTTGCCCAGTTTAGGTATTTCTTACAAATGATGGTATACCATGGAGAGAAATAATCATTTCAACAACTAGAGAGCCCTATACAGAAAAGCTGGACTCAGACAACAGGAAAAACAGCTCAATTTGTATATAAAACTTAGATGTAGAAGGTAAAACTACAGACCTCTTTTATGAAAACATCATCAGCTAGCTCTGGCATCCCTGTTGAAAAAATGAGTTGACCACATTATTGAAGGTACATAAATAAATGAGCTTATATGATGCCAGGTTCTATCTAGTCCATTGATCTATGTTTTTATGGTGGTAGCACTCTGTCTTGATTATTTTGTTTCCTTAGAATATTTTTTATTCATGAACTGTCTATTCTGAAGATATAAAATTACGCATCAATTTTATGTTGCTAAATCTACTGTCATGTTCAGTTTTCAAATCAGATTCTACTCACGTAGTAATGAAAGAATCCTTATTGCTGGGGCCAGAATTGTGGCATAGCAGGTAATGCTGCTGCCTTCAGCACTAGCACCCCATATGGTCACCAGTTTGAGTCGCAGTTGCTGCACTTCCAATCCAGGTCCCTGCTAGTGCTCCTGGGCAGAAGATAATCCAAGTACTTGGACTCCTGCTACTCATGTGAAAGAACTGGATGAAACTCAGGCTTCAGCCTGTTCCAGCACTAGCTATCCTTGCAGCCAACTGGGGAGTGAACCAGCAGATGGAAGATACCTCTCTATCTCTGTTAGGCTAATTTTCAAAACAAATAAATAAATTTTAAAAACATGTATTGCTGGTACAAGATTATAGGATTTGGCATTTTAAGAAAAATGTTTTCATTTTATTTTTTTTTCTTTAGCATTTTGCTTTAGAGCATCTAAGCTTGCTTGTATTTCTAACTACTTCAGAAGAATTCTCCATGAAGAAATGGAAAAGTGGCATTTACAGTTGAAATTCAAGTCTAAATTTGTGTGGCCAAGATTTGGAAGCAGGTTTGATTTGAGATCTTAGGAAAGAGTAGAAGCGTTGCATGGAAATTCAGTTGTCTGCTGAGCCTTCAACAAGCTCTGTTCTCTTTGTTTATGTGATTGGCAGAAAAGGCTGCAGTCACATTGAAGGAAGACAGCCCATGATTGTGTGTGTCTTATTCTAATCTTTATGGATTTAAAGAGATGGGAAGAAAGAACATAATGTAGCTGAATGTAATGACAAACAAAAAGCAGCCATTTCTCATATATCTGCCAGGGAAATAGTAGATGCACCTCAAGATACAACAATCTGCTTACCCTACCATGATAAGATGCAACACTCAAGCTAAGATGATAGTATGTGATCCTAAAAAGTCAGTAGCAGATGCAAATCTAGAGGGCTCATGTTCTGTTAATACTGAAAATTAGGTATTATGCTTCAGTGTGCTAAAATGATTAGAAGGTTTGGAATCTTACTCAGTGGTTAGGATACTTTTGTTTTATTATAAACATTCATGCTTTCTTTCCATCTGTCTCTCCTCTCTATCACTCTGCACCTATCGTGGTGTCTTGGGTAACCCTTAATTCAGGAGACAGGTGTCTGAAGATGAGAGAGAACTAGAGAGGAAGGGAGCAGAGGAAGGACCAGTTACCAAAGACAGAGTAGAACCACAGATGAGATTAGGCTGCAGGCGACTCAGGAGGAACAAGGGAAGTCATCCCTGTGGTCTCCTCTATTTGTATGCATCATCCCAATTTCCACAGTGGAATGTGTGAAGGGATAATTTGGGATTAAGGCTGTATGTCACACGGACCACCCTGTTCACTTATATTTAAGTGTCCCCTTTTAATAAACAATTTTCAGGGTCTGGTGTTGTGGCACAGTGGGTAAAGTTGCCACTTACCACACCACCATCCCATATAGGTGGTGGTTTAAGCCCCAGCTGCTCCACTTCTGATCCAACTCCCTGCTGTTGGCCTGAGAAAAGTGGCAGAGAATGGCTCAAGTGAGCATAGGTGGGAGACTTAAGCTCCTGGCCTTGGATGGGCCCCACTCCAGCTGTTGTGGCCATTTGGAGAGTGAAACAGTGGATAGAAGATCTTTGTTTCTCATCTGTCTCTCTCTGTAAGCTCTGCCTTCAAATAATTACATAGATCTTTAAAAATAAATAAAAATTTCACAATTGAATCACATCTTACCACAAAACACAGATGCTCCTTTCAAATAAGTCACATGTTTTATTTCAGATTTGGGTAACAGTTACTTGAATTCTATTATAAAAACAGATTTGTTTGTCTTATGAGAGAAATGTGTTTAATTAGACACGGAATTGACTGCTAAAACAATTTTGTTTATGCCTTACTATTTGCAGTTTTGCCGCTACCTTGTAGTTTTCTGTGTTTGGGAAGAAATAAAAAGTTCATGTGGCAAAAAAAAAAAACAAAACCACTATCATTTTTACAGTGGATCAGGCAAGTATTTCTCACAGTGTCCGTCTGCCTTTTTTCTAACTGTTTCCCTTTGTTTCCAGACCAAGAAGGAAAGGACAACTTTCAGTCGAACAAGATTCCAAAGGGAAGACAGTGCCAGAATTTGGAATACACTTTTGGACAAACGTTTTGCCAAGGTAAATATTACCATCGTACCAACAAGCGGACACATCCTTAAAGTTTCAGATTGCGGTGGTACCGCACAAAGGTTTAATTGTTTTTGTCTGATTCAGACTGAAGTAGAAGAAGAGGGCGAGGGTAAGGAGACAGCCTGCGATGTCCTGCAGCCCCTTCTCAATGTGTTACCAGGAGAAGACGGGCAGAATGTGGGAGCACTGCTTCACTGTGTGGGAAAAAGGGAGGCGAGGAGAAACGTGATGTTTTCCCCTCCTGTTTCAGAATCTATGGAAATCAAAACCCCTGTGGTTTGATTGCAGATACAGCGTCCCTTCTTGTATAAGCAGAGTTGGGTAATCCCCTCTAAAGGTTAAAGTGAAATATTTGCTAATATTCATGCCACACAGGAAAGGAAACAACCTGACTTAAAATATTTTACACAAAGACTTCTATCTGTATGAGTTTTTAGGAAATGTTACATTTTTCTCTGAAAAGCTCTATCTAGTTATCCTTTGCTTGGTTCATGAGAAAATCCTTTTTAGGAAAAATCATGCCCATAATACCTGTTTCTGGAAGAGAAGGTGTGTTTGTGAGCGAGAGAGGCCCGCAGGGAGGGAACCTTCAATAGAATCTGTATGCACACACCGTGAGTTTCAGAGTAGAAACTCTGGCACTTCACAAATTGTGGATTGGTAGGAATAAGGCTGAATAGAAGCGGCTGAACTTAATACACAGCTCCAGCATTCATGAGTTAGCTGCCAATATTTTAACACACATTGCTGTGTCATTTTCGTGAAGTTTCCCTGTTGCTGCTCAGTTTTCAGCTTTTAGCTAACTCCTGAAAGTTTATCTGATGAAACACCTCCTCCTTTTCTTAAGGAGGGTATTTGTTTACCTGTACATAAAGAAATGCAAAACCGTAAGATCTGATGTAAAAGAAAGTACACTTGCCAGCTTTCTCTGATGAAAAGTGGGTGTGTGATTGGCATCGCTCAGCTCCCGGCCTTCTGGAAGGTCATTTTAGAGAGGCAAGGGACAGTCATGTTTTCCTCTTGTGTTCTTACCCTGGTTATTCTCTTGTGAAGGGGCTGGGGTGAGAATGCAGGCTGTACATTAGAAAAGAATTTGGGATACTATTCATTCTCTGTTCTGACAGAGAGGACATTGTTTGTTCACTGTAATAGTCTTGGCAGGAATCTATGCTGTGCATACAGAATGGGAAAATAGAGCAGTGGGGAATCTCTAAATCTAAGCAACAGTTCAGCATTGGAAGTGTTTAGCATATATATTTTTAATAGTTTTTCCTTACTATAAATGCAAGTCATACTTTGGTGAACTATTTCCCTTTCAGAATGACTGAATTATTTATGCATTGCGTTGGTTGTTGGAGGGAGATCTTTTAAAAAGCTCTGTGTGCCCAGCTAAGTAATGTGGTGATAAGAATTAAAATCATGGGAGTTTAGAAATACTTTCTGGATACTCCAGTCCTGCTCTGTTGTTGCTCCTGAAACATTTGCACTCACATTGTTGTACATGAAAACACAGGCATGTCTTTTGTTGTTTCTCAGAATCAAGATTGTGGTGCCTAAGAGGCAGAGACACTTTGAAACAATGCAGGGAGGCAAGTGTACCCTACTAGAAATGGTGTGAGAGGAACCTCGGTCCCCAAATGTTCCAACCGCAAAGGCAACGAGTGTGGAGAAAAGGGGTGACAGTACTGTGCAAACTCCATGTTGGGACATAACGAGGCAGAAATGTACCAGATGGTGAGACATGTTCTCGCCTCTCGCTGACCTCAGCGCACGGTGGTCCCTGAGAACCCCTGAGGTGCCCAGGAACTTCATGGGTGTGCATGTGTGTTTCATACCAGACAGAACGTGATGCCACCAGGTTGCAGGCTGCTGTGTTCCCAAGCAGGGAGTGTAAGCTGGAGCCCTGGAGAGCCTGCACAAAGCAACCCTGATTGCAGGTGTATAGGGGCCATTGCCAATTCCAAGTTTAAGAGTTGCTCATCAATCTTGTGCTGAGAGATTTATCCTTACTCCCAAAACTCACCTTGCATCATGTTTGTAATTATAATACCCTGGATATTTATACCAAAAAATGCATAGTATAAATTATGAGATTGCTAAAATTACGTTTGTGACAGGTCTTTAAATTATTGCAAACTTCTCTGAGCTTTTTATGTAGTTTCTATAAGTTTCTGTTGTGCAACTAAAATTATCTTTTACCCCATTCCTGTGGCATGATTCATGTATATTCCTTGTTTGTTGTTGTTAGCTTTCTCACTTTTTAAAAATATATTTGTTTGACTTCATTTGTGAAAGTTATCTTCTTAAAAATGTGCATGTAATATATATATATATATATGAGATGACAAATTCAAGTAAATAACAGCAAAGAAACCAAGAAAAAAAATCAAACTTTACCAAACCTTTTTCCTTTTGTTGTTTGTTTTTGGTACATTTTTATCCATTTTAAAAGTAATTTTTATTTCATTCTTTGCAACATCTGAGTCACACAGCCTCTGGCAGAGGGACTAGACGGAGAGAGGAAGATAGTGGCGCATATATGGTGATTGCTGGCCCATCTGTGACTCTGGCCACCCTTTCTCTGTACAAAACCCCCTGTGACCACTCTAGGCAGGGCCTGATTTCTAGCATGTCCTAGTGACAGCCTAGCTGTCCTTGGAATGTGACCACAACTCTCCCATAAGCAATGGGAACTGGCAGACAGCTAATTCAGCATGTACACTGGCCTCCTAAGTGTCCTTGTAACTGGTCAAAGGAGGCTGCTTAAAAGGAGGGATGTGAGCATTTTATGTTTGCCGTGGCATGTGTTGGTTTTGTCTATTTTGAGCCGAAATGCATATCGTTTGTGGAAAATCAGAGTGAGCACATATTGATGCTGTTTTGTTGAACAAACGTTTATGTCATGCACACTGTGACACAAGCACTCTTCTAAACACTTTCCAGACGTTGAAAATTTAATTCACCTGACTACCCTACTTTATTGTTAGTTTTCCCATTTGACTTAAGAGGAAACGAAAGCTCAGAGAATATCTGTAGCTTGCCAAGTGGATGTAGTCAGCACTGGCATCCAGCCATCTGCTCTGGGGCCTGGTCATTAAGATTCCAACTCAGGCAGCACCTACTAGACCACACCAGAGCTTGCTCAACTGTCACATCTCTTCATGATCGATAAACACACATGCTTTCCCCTCAGGGGCACAGACACTAGTACACTGCCACTTTCACACCATGTCATGTTGGCCTCTACACACCGTGGTACATGGTGTACCATGTTACTTTTTGGAAGTGAATACCCTTCTATTGTTGTTTACTTGTGTGAAGAAAGAATTTGTAAATCCTGTTCTTCCAGTTTTCAAAGTGGGTGCAGGTTAATGCTGAGTGGTGAGCAGAGCAGCAGGTGTTCATCTGACAGCTTTCAGGATGAACAAGTCCCATGAACCTCACTGAAGGAAAGGCTGAAGGCAATGGCTCAGTCCCTTCCTTATCGACTTTTTATGCATGGGTCCAGTAACATTTGGCATGGCCCTATGCACAGCCAATGACAAAGGCTCTTGTGTCAGGTGGTGAATGTTAGATCACTCCTCTCTCCATGTGCCGTCAGGACACAGGCAGACTTCTGCAGGCTTGTGCCTTAACACAGCACTTCCCAAAGTATGCTGTACAAACATGGCAGGTTGCAACCACTTTTATCATCCTTCACATGTAGTAAACCTGCCCTGCTTTGGCATAGGAGGGATCTTCTATAACACTTCATGGAGAAGTGTCTATTAAGATGAAACTACACGTGGATTCCAAAGGGTTTTTTTGCACTAAAATTATATTTTAATTTCATCTTTCCATAAACATTTTTGAAGCTCCGTTATGTGCACTATGGTATTTGGCTCTTGTTTCTCTATACTCAAAAGCATTCATCCAGAACCTGCAAAATGTGCAGAAACATTGGGAGGCTTGGAGTCTCAGTTGCTATTCCAAGGATAAGGTGTCCATAGCAGAGGTTGTTGTCGGCATAACTTCTTTTGTGCATCTTTCCACCATCTCTGTGTTATCATGATCCTGGGTTCTGTTTCCATCACTCGTCTCTAACTTCACCATTTTCAGAGGATGGGCCATGATTTCCTGACAGTTACTTGACAAACTCCTTGGGATTCAGAAGTCTTTCAGGGATTTTTTTATATCATTCAGCACAATAAAGGTTCAAATCCAACCTGCATTTCTATAATATTAATTCTTAAAAGATTACCTAACTGCTTCAGAAAGCAGTTAATAACTCAAGATCTCTTTGAGGATGTAAAGCCATCACTGACAAGCAGATTTGTGACTCATATCAACACAGCAGGCTCCCATAGAGGTTTTAATTCATTTTTATAATTTGTTAGGTGCAGTTCCTTTATACATGGAATGGGTAACTTGTTTAAACCATTCAGACAGCAAACACAAGGAACAGTACTGTTATTAGCTTCTATTGTTGCAGCAAAATTCATTTACATACATTTTATGGTGTTAACACTGTTTTATTTCCCAAACTGGGTGTTGGATACATGGTTATTTGTTGTGTTATTCTTTTAGAGGCTCTGAAAAACCTAATATATTTGTGAAATATTGGCCCCTAAGGATATATGCATGATATAAAATTAAAAATAGGAAAATGCTAATCATCATATACAACTTGGCTTTATATTTCTTAGGTAAATATTGTATTCATGAAGGTACTTAAAAATGTTATTCTACGCATTTTTTTTATAATATCAATTTTTCCATATTATAAAAAGTACTTAAGGGCCTGGCACAATGACTCAGTGGTTAAAATCCTCACCTTGTGCACCTCAGGATCCTCTATAGGTGCCAGTTCATATCCTGGCTGCTCGACTTCCCATCCAGCTCCTTGCTTGTGGTCTGAGACAGCAGTCAGGACGGCCCAAAGCCTTGGGACTCTGCCCCCATGTGGAAGATCTGGAAGAAGCTCCTGGCTCCTGGCTTTGGATCAGCTT